TCAAATTTTGTTATAATTAAACTATAACTTGAAATTAATCAAAATATTCATATTTTATTTTATTTTAAAATATATATATTACATTACTTTTACTTTATAAAAATAAATTATTAAATCATTATTTTAGATTAATATAAAATTTAATATATATAATTTAAAAATAAAAAACTTTTAATTTAATAATTAATTTTATAAAATTCACATTTAATATAAAATTATTGAATAATATAATACTTCATGAGTTGACCCAGTCTTCGTCTTTACTGGTATGGCGCATCTGCTAGCAAATTCTATTATAATTTTTTTAATTGATAATTTGATATACATAAGTTGTTGTCGCAGCATTTCTACATGCTACAGAAAAGGTCATAAACAATTCCATAAAGTTGCCTTTGGTCAAAACTTGAAAGATATGTTCATCACAAGAATCAAAATTAACCAATATCTTACGCGTTATTGTGGAAGCTCAAAATATGGAATAACATCAATCACACATTCAAGTAAAAATTGGATGGCGCTGCGAAAATTTGTAAGTTCTCTTTTTCGGGTGCGGAATGTGAATTTTTAATTTTTTCTCTTATTTAACTATTATGTTATATATATATATATATAGACAATAATGTGAGAGTAATCAAAGTGTACATATCTTAATATATTTTAAAATAAATATATTACGTTAATTTTATTTTATAAGAATGAAGTATCAAATCATCTTGAATTAATATAAAATGTATATATAATCTAAGAGTAAAGAATTTTTAATCTAACGGCTGGATTTTCAAAATTTATATTTAATATAAAATTATTGAGCGGTGTAACACTTAATAAAAATTACACCAGTATCGTTTAAACCTTCCTCGTATATATACATATATTCAGCCAATAAAACAAAATTGTTCCTTGTGATGTCTCATTTTCACTCTTTTTACAAGAACTTGGTCGATTTGATGTAGGGCTATGCTTTTGGATTAGATATATATATATATATCTTTATTTATCTTATTTTATAAGATTTATTTTAAAATTGTGTTGTTGCATAAAATTTACCTTTTAATCTCTATAAAAATAGAGAATAAGAATTAAAAACGAACAAAAAAAAAAATCTGTAAGAACTATAAAATAAAATATCTTTAATCATAGAGAATAAAAGATAAAATTTATAAAATTATAGGATACTTAAGGGTAATCAAATATTTCCCCCCTAACTTTCTAGCTACTAAATAGATTCATTTTCACTCAATTTTGTAAAATCATAACCATTTGTAATTTTTTAGTTTTGAATAAATTTTAACTAATAAAATATAATTTTCCATCACTCCTCTTTGGCTCTTTTTTCTGGTGGACGACTTCTTGAGTTGGGTTGTGTTTACACTTTTGTTTCACATTTATGTTTGGAGGGAGAAGATACTTTTCTTGTGATTGTGATGGCTTCAATTGATCAACTGTACCAATCACATTTGCTCAATCATGTTATAACTTATAACTTTTTATCCGTCATTGGGCCGGCCTTGTGTTAAGACTTCACTATCACTCTTCCACACAACGACCAAGCCTCACACTAAATTGCTCTTACCACAAAACAAACCAAGTTTTTAACTGTCATAACTAGGATACGGTCAACGCCTGGTAAAAGCATTACATTTACAAATTACCCTTGTCATAAGGAACTAATTAATTTATTATTAAAAAGCATATCAATTTATTAGAAAATTCAAGTTTTACATCGATTAGAGATAAAACAGTTAAATAGTATATAAGAATGAAGAACAACCCTTATCTTATAAGTCGATTTTGTTTGATTGAGTTAGATTTAAATTTATTAATTTTATAGGATTAAGGGAGATTCAATTCCACTATTGTAAGGCAATTTCTATTAGAACCCAAAAAGCAAAGACGATGTCTCAATTATTATTGATTATTGATGTATGTATATACTGCTACAAACTGTGTCCTTTTAACGTGTGGCGGCTCAAGATATATGTTGAGTTCAGCAGCATACCCATGATGAAAACCTTTCTTCTTCTTCTCTTTCATGCTGCTGCCATATACTACTGTCTCAGAGTTCAACTCTACAGTTAAGATGTCCACAGTTTTGGAGATTCCAATTCCAAGCTATTGTGAAGTTAAGGTACCATCAAATCTCTGTTTTGGTTGCCATTTTCACCAACAAGTTTTAATTTCTAAGCAAAGGGTGTGTGTCCCAGTTATCAAATTTAGGACAAACAATCTTAAATGGCCATCTCATAATCCTAAATAGTTTTCTCATAACTCGTTAATATGGGCATCTCCAACTATCTTAAATGTGCACTGATAACCTCAGTTTCTTTTTTTTTTTAATTTATTTTTTTTGTCTTGTCACGATTATCTCTAACCTACTGGGACAGAGACTAACCCTGCTCGTGATACTTTAGATAATGAGTTTTATGTACAGTTCATAAGTGCTTTTAGCATTATTCTTTGATTAGAACTAGAATTTTATCTTGTTGGTTTAAGATGACTTTTAATGGAAGCCTTTATTACTAAAAATTGTTAGATAGTTTTGAATTATATGTTCCCTAATGAAACTCTTTATGATAAGTAACTCGGTATTATAAATATTATTCATAAATTGAAGAACTTAAATATAGTTTATGTAAAGACTGGTTGTGACCCTAGACACATAGTCATAAACATCCCAAAATATGATAATTTCTCCTTTTTTATTTTTTATGAATTTTGAGGTGAAACTCTAAGTTTTGTCCTTGAATTTCAAGATTGAAAATGACCGGTAGAAGGAAAAAAAATCATATAATTTGCTATGAATAGCAAAATTTTCATTGCCTGATGATCTGATCGCAGAAATAGCAGTTTTCAATTACTAATAATAAGTGCAGCTAAAATAGTAGATGAGTCAATTTTATATAATGAGAAAGTGCCATAAATCACCTTTATTTGATTATAATTTATTCATGTTTTCATTTGCGCAGGTACACCGTTCAATATGCTTAGAACTTCATAGACTCATGGAAAGAATTTTGCATGTAATTTTAGCCATCGAATCTGCCAGACCAAATTATACGTTAGCGATGCAGACATTGTGCTCATTACACTCCACTTTGGCTAAAGCCAAGTCAGTTATCAAACATTGTTCCGAGTGCAGCAAACTCTACCTGGTATCTTTATGATCTTGAAACCTTTACTCTCATACTCAGATCAATTGTCTGATATATAATCTTTAAATACTTCTCTATTATTTTTTCTCTGTTCTTATTCTTTGCATAGTAAGAAATGTTAATTATTTTGAAATGACTAACCTAAGATAATTTGCAAACTGGTTAGGCAATCACATCGCATAAGATACTTTCAAGATGTCAAAAAATAAGAAATGCTTTTGAGTTGTACTTGGCTCAGATTCAAAATGCAGTTCCAATACCATTGGCTTCTAAGGTTAGTTATACTTGTTAATTAGCCTTTTATAGCTTCTTAAGATCTGTTTGTGTAAATTTATCAAGAAGTACTTCTAGGAAAAAAAAATAAAATTAATTTCTTCATAAATTAAAATTAGTTTATTCATAAGCTAATTTGAAGATGTTCTCTTATATTAACTTCTCCAAAATCTTATTTTAAATTTGTGTGTAAGACTGTTTTAACTTATGGAGAAACTTATTTCAATTTTTTTTCTTCTAAAAGTACTTCTGAAAAAATTTGCCTTAGTATTTTTGCACCACATGTTTCACTTGTGATTTGTGCAATATCTGAGGCTGAGAATTGACCTACAGATTTCTGCAATACTACACGACCTTAGGGACATAGAATTTTCCCTGGAATTTGAAGAAGAGGAGGCTAGGAAAGTAGTACTTTCACTACTTGAGAAGAATTTTCCTGATTCAGCTTCTATGGAAAAGGAAGAGCTTGAAGCTATTCAAGATGCAACATCGAGGTTGGAGATCAAATCCCCTTTCTCTTTCTTGCTAGAGAAAGCAACTCTTAAGAGGCAACTTGAACAAGTCAATGGAACAAATCTAAAGGAGAAGCAGCTTCTAGAATACCTTTTGTATCTCTTGATCAAATATAGGAAATCCATTTGTCAGATTCAAGATGGAAGCCACTCTTCGAAAGATGAAAGTTTAAACCAATTATTTGAGCACAAGTTGGTTGTGGAGGAAGCAATGAGTGAGAATCAAGTAAATGACTCCCTTAACCCAAAAGTTGAAGATCTATGATTATTCATAACTTGAGGTTCTCTTGCTTGTACTATATTATTGTCCATTGTCCAAAGAAAGGTGATTTTTTACTTGAAAACTAGCATTTCTATTTATTTTGTTAGGACCCTAATTTATAGGAATGAGTTCATTAAAAACAAAATGTTGCAAGGGATCCAATTGGGAGTATGCTTAGGATTTAGGAGATAGTGAACTGATGTAGGAATTCTGAATTGTATTATAGGTTTTGTTTTCTTATTAGGCAAGGGGCAATATATATAGTCATGGGGACCTTAGTTCTCCTTCTCTTGATGTAATTATCTAATTTCAACCCTTTGAGTTTGCTTTTTATTCATTCTCTATCTGATTTTTAGAATTTAGAACTTGACATTAGAAGCTTTTGTATGTAGATTTGTCGGTAAAATCAGTAACAAATGGTGGACCAACACTCTTCCCCTTGAAAGGGCTGAACGATCTTGTATAACTAGAATTACTAGATGATCTAAATAAACTGAAAACAGTGCTTGAACTTGGGTGTAAAATGCATATATACATCCTTGAGAGTAGTGTCAAAGAACATTTAATAGTAAGGAACAACAGCTTCTATGAGAAACAGTAGCTTGCCTTGTCAAAAACAATCATGTCATAATGTGTTGAATACTCGTAAAGAAACTTGAGATGCAAGGAGATCACAAGTAAGCATGCTATAAATATATCATCGTGGGAAAGAATATATATATAAAAGAGAAAGAATCTAGCTAATTTAAGAATAAGTCTTACTAAATTTTATAACTCATATTTTAAATTAAATTTCATTTATTCAACTATTAAATTAAATTTTTTTACTGTATGTATAAAAAATGAAAAAATCATTTTTGTATTCTCATCTCCATTTATATTTCTAATAAAATATTTTTTGTTGCATAATTTTTTATGTTTAAATATTTATTTGTAAAACCGGAACTTTCTTGTTTATGCATTTAATAAATAGTTTGAAAACATCATTACAAATAGCTAATAAGCTATTTCTTTTTTTTTTCTTAAAAAAAGACTAATGTTTTGTATTTCAATAAATAAAGAGTTTAAATATGTTTTACTCCATATAAAATGAATTATTTTTTATCTTGAATTTCATTTTTTTTTATCTCTTTAAACTTGAAATTATTATTTTTGATTTCTTGTATTTTGTGATCTTTATTAATTACTTTTGTATTTATCATATAGTCAAATGATCGACACCTACATCAATTCATACCATATTATTACATGAACTAATAGAAAATTTTATAAATTCTTAAAACAAATTTTATTTATTTACTTTAAAATAAACATTAGGGACAAAAAATAGTGACTTTAAATTTTAGGGATTTAGAGAAAGAAAAAAAAAATTATAGGAACTAAAACTCAAATTTATTTATTTTTTAAGGATAAAAAATAATGATTCCAAGTTTTAGAGAAATAAAAAGCAAAATTTTTTTTTTACAAGAATTAAAATCAAAACACATTTATTTTATATCGAATAAAAACATTTAATTATAAAATAAAATTTAGGAAAAGAGAATGATGCTCCATTCATTTAGTTTCTTTTTCCAATTATACTAATAGCTAAATAATGAAATGTTAATTTCATTCCAATCGTGAAAATAAAAATCCAATTCACTTTACATAACCACCATAAATCTAAGAGATTAATTAATCCCCACTTAAGGGAGTGTCAACTGTCAAGTTTCTCACACCTACAATAAATAATGGGTTCATGATATATACACTTCCTTTTTTCTATAAGTACACCTCTTTTTTTAAAAAAAAATAATTAAAATTTTAAAATATTCTTAATTTTTTAATTTTGTATTTTGTATTTTTTAATTTTTTAATTTTACATCCACAACATTTAATTTAATACTTTTTTTCACACATATTTTCTCTTTTTTTCAATTTTTATATACACTCCCTTACCTTTCATTCACCCTACTTATTTTAGTAGTATGTGAAAATTAAAAGTAAAAAAAAGTGTGTGAAAAAGAAGAAGAAAGTAGAAAATTAAAAGTTAAAGATGTAAAATTAGAAAATTAAAAAAAAAACTACAATATTTTATAATTTAAAAAAATAAATAAAGAAAGTGTACTTATTTAAAAAAGGAAGTTATATATCATGAGCCTAAATAATGTCATATTGGTTTGGGCTTTTTCTGGTTCTATTTTAATTTTTTTTGATTCAATCGTTGGTTTGGGCTTGATCACATTACAATGATTTTGGGCTTATAGTTTCATTCTTTGATTTCATTTCCTTCTTCATCTTGTTCGTGAGTATCAGTAACAGAGTTTGATGCCATAAACCTAAAACCCTAAATCTCACACACCATGAGTTGGAGAACCTTCGCTTCCACTTCGACTCGCACAATCAAAAAACTCAATGCACTCTTACGATCCCCTCCCCCTCCTCCGCGCCTCCCACGCGCCTCCTCTCACGCGCCATTCGCCACGCGCCTCCTCCATTCCGCAACACCCACCACCGCCCTCGTCGACCCCAAACGGCGCGCTCCGCGAAACGACGGCGCCGCCGCCGCCGACGACGACGGCGACGACACGACGAGCGAGTTTCTCTCGCGTTTCGTGTGGGTAATGCGGAAGAAGGTGAAGGAGGTGCACCCGGACTCCGACAAGGCCACCGTCGACGGCATGCTGGTGGCGATCGTGCAGAGGGTCACGGCGGAGATGGAAAGGGGCGGCGGCGAAACGGCGTCGTTTGGGGATTTCAGCGAGGATTTGTGGAGAACGGTGTGGGAGGTGAGCAACGAGGTGTTGGAGGACATGAACAAGGAGAGGAAGAAGGAGAAGATGAAGGGTTTCTTGCAGTGCGAGGAGGTTAAGGAAATGTGCCGATTCGCCGGAGAAGTTGGCATTCGCGGCGATTTGCTCAGGGAGCTTAGGTTCAAGTGGGCACGTGAGAAAATGGAGGAGCACGAATTCTACGAGGGTTTGGAGAAAATAAGGAAAGAGGCGCAACCTGAGAGTGAGAACAATGAATTTGATGTTAGTGAGGAGAAGGAAAAGGTTGTTGTTGGGCTTCCCAAGAGGAGGGGGAAGATAAGGTACAATATTTATGGGCTTGATCTGTCTGATCCCAAGTGGGCACAGGTGGCTGATAGGATCCATGAGGCAGAGCAAGTGTTTTGGCCTCAGGAGCCGAAGCCAATTACTGGAAAAGCGAAGATCGTTACCACGAAGATTCTGTCGTTGAAGGAGGAAGAGGAGAGTGGTTTGCAAAGCCTGTTGGCTGAGTGGGTGGAGCTTGTGCAACCTAGCAGGGTGGAGTGGATGGATTTGCTTCACAAAATGAAAGAACAGAATCCTGCTTTGTATTTGAAGGTATGCCAATGGTTTGTTTGGTTTCATTTCTCACTTATCGGCTTGATTAGCTTAATTACATATCCATCCTATATTTGGAGGCTGCATGAAATGTGTTCTGTGTGGTTCTTTGTTTTCGTTCTTACTCGACGTGGTGTACTAGCCTCCTAGGAGTATTGACTCATTGTGTGATAAATCCCTAGGCAGTAGCCGCTTGAGAATTGTTACCTTAGCATAGGAAGATTATGCTTGTTGATAGTGAACTATTCGTTAATTCTAGGAGGTAAAAGTAAGGCGACTATTTTGTCACATGTTTTATGGTTATTTGCTTTTATGGATTACTTATTTAAGAACATGAATGATCCCAAGAATATATTTCCATACTATGAAGCACCTACTCTGACCCGGACATCGGGACATTGCTAATGTCCAAAATATAGGACACTAGGGCACACACATATATAACATGACAAAAATTTAAATTGAGAATTAAGATTTACATATATTCACCTTCAAAGTTTGTTAGGCTTTATAAGTTTTATATGATAATGACCCTTTTAAGATGAATCATATCTCTTAAAAGTTAAACAACTTATAATTCTTATGAAAATAAGCCTTGCAAAAAAAATGTCATGAGCCTTGCAATATTTATAATTAAGTTGAGTTTTTAAGTTTTTTTTATTTTTTATTTTTTTTATTTTTATAATAGGAGTATTAGATAAGTATTAGATGTCGACTCACTCTGGTTCATGTCCAAGTCCTATTGGAAAGGTGTCCAAGTTATGTCAAAGATGTGTCCAAGCTGTGTTGGAGAGGTGTCCGAACAAAAAATATAATAATTTTTAATTATGACATAGTGGAGACGTGTCAAACATGTATCTTAGGCGAATCCAAAACGTGACGCCAACACAATATTTTGTACATGTGTTGGTGCTTCATATCCATATGCTGCTCATGAAAATTGTTGGAACTTTCATGTAATACATTTTTTTTTGAAGTGGATTACTGTGATTCAGCATGAGATGAATACTTACTTGGACTTAATTTTTTTTCAAAACCTATGCTTATAGGTGGCTGAAATGGTATTGACTGAAGATTCTTTCCAAACAAATGTATCTGACTACTTTAGGCTTATTGACATCTATGCTAAAGAGAACTACTTTGATGATGTTGAGAGAATCCTTAAGAAGATGAATGAAAATGGTTTACAACCAGATGCCTCAACAGCCAGTACACTGGTCCACATGTACTGCAAGGGAGGCAATCTTGCACGAGCAAATGAAGCATTTGAAGTTTTGAGGAGCCGGGGCTTCCAACCAGATATACAAGTCTACAACTCAATGATCATGGCCTTTGTAAATAACGGCCAGCCTAAGTTGGGCGAGAAATTGATGAGGGAGATGGAGACGAAAGATATTAAAACCACAAAGGAAATATACATGGCATTGCTCCGTTCTTTTTCTCAACTTGGTGATACTCAAGGAGCCGAAAGAATTTCAACAACTATGCAGTTTGCTGGAATTCAGCAAAGTATGGAGACATGCACTCTGCTTATCGAGGCACATGCACTTGCAGGTGACCCTGATCAGGCAAGAAGCCATTTTGACTACATGATGAAGTTTGGGCATAAGCCTGATGATAGGTGCACTGCTAGCATGATTGCAGCTTATGAGAAGAAAAACTACTTGGACAATGCATTAAATATTCTATTGGAGTTAGAGAAGGATGGGTTTGAGCCTGGGGTTGCCACTTATTCTGTTCTTGTGGACTGGTTGGGTAAGTTGCAGCTTGTTGATGAGGCTGAACAGCTTTTAGGCAAAATAGCTCTGCTGGGTGAGGCTCCCCCCTTCAAGCTTCAAGTGAGTCTATGTGATATGTATGCTAGGGCTAGAAATGAAAAAAAGGCTCTTCAAGCTCTAGGCGTTCTGGAAGCTAGGAAGGATGAATTGGGACCAGCTGAGTTTGAGAGAATTATAAGTGGCCTTATTGATGGTGGGTTTCAGAAGGATGCACAAAGAATATGTCGAATTATGGAGGCACAGGGTTTTGATGCATCAAGGGTTAAGGTTAACCTAATGAAACCTATCTCCAGAGCACCTAGTATGAGATAGTTTAGTGGTCACGAGTAGGGCCATTTTAGTCTTTCTCTGCCAAGTGACCAACAAATGCACTGCCTTATTAAAGGAAGCATGGTCTGCTGGATTTATCATACCATGTTACAAATAAGGGAGTTTATGCTTGTTTAGTTAGTTTTTCAATTGTAACGTTTATCAATTTTCCATGGTTACAGCTTTTTGCCAGTGCTCAGATTACTGATTTTTATCCCTCATTTTTTTTTTTCCTTTTGAATTTTAGTGTTTGTACATAGAATATCTTTGGTGGCATGTTTATGGCATTTACTTTTTCATACATACAATATTTTTGTGGTGTGTTTGTGTAGGATTTATTCTGATTTTACCCTCAGTCCTTGTATGCCTAGGACCAGTTGCAATTAGAGATGTCTGGAGAAATTTTCGAACCTATATATTAGTCTATGGATTGCAAGTATTCCATATGCTCAAACAAACTATAGTAATGACTATGTTCAGCATCATTTGAGGTATTATTTAATTGCATGCCATGTCAAAAATTTACATACTAGTATAAATTTTCAAATTGATAAATAAAGAGAATAATATATATTTTTATTATTTAATAATGATATTATAGATATAGCTTTTAAAGTTGGGTGCCTTGAGGTAGCCTGGACCCATGCTGTAGGGGTTGAGGAAGTACATGTTCTGTTTCTTGGAGTTGCCTAGTTGGTGATGAGTTATTGTCATGGTAGCCTGTGTGGTCTGAGATGATTGGGTTTGGAATGGTGCTGCATTATCGTTTTGGAGACTGGGAACACATAAAAAATGAGTATTCTTGTTCTAACATAATTTTTCTATACTCGGTCAGGATCCGTATTTTGATCAACTTAGATAAAGAATGTAAGTCGCTATTACTTGCGTCGATTATTGTTGGTACATACTAATAGTGGTTCGTATTCATTGAATAGTGGTTACATGAAAAATAAAGTACTATGTATTATGCTATTTTTACTGATAAGCAAATATTGCACGCGTGTTTTTGGTGTATTTCGGTCATGTATTGTGTAACTTGTGTCAATGTTTTGGGAAACGCTAACTTTTATTTAAAATTAATTTATGTATAAATTAATTTATAGAATTTAATATATTAATTTTTTAAAAGGTTAGCTTGATTTAGGTATAACTCAATTTAGTTTAAAGAAAAACTGTGTTTGTGGAGAAATTTATGTGAATAAATTTTTTTATCAAAACAGACAGTTTCTTTAATTTGAGATAGTGTATTGAAATTTAAAAATTAAAACTTAAATTGAATTTAAATTGGAATTAGTAAATTTAAATGATAATATATAAAAGAAGCTACCCTCTGATTGTACTACATTAAAAAAGATTACTTTATTCATCCGACGCACTCTGGTAAAATAAAGAGATTATGATATTCTCACCTCAAATGCGTGGCTGAACATGTGAAAGTTCAGAAATATATTCAATTAACATGCAGCAACTAATGACTAATAGGATTGTCCTCTGATGTTGGCAAGAAATATGGTCTTCCACACGGTTGGTATCTCATATTACCGGTGCCCACAAGGCAGAAGGATACCTTCCTATCATTCATTACTTCCCTAGTTGTGACTCTTGATCTTTTTTCTTAAAGTAGGATTTCAAGAAAGGCACCCTTCGGTCCCTTTTCCATGGAATTGGTTCCTAATAAGTCAATCAATGACTAAAACCAAGAGTTCAAGTCTTAGATTCAAGCTTTTTTTGGTATGGCGTAATTTTAATAAATAAACCAAGAGTTTCATAACCTAATATCAAGGTAAAGTATACTGGAATTCCTTTTCTCAAAGGCAAGACAAATTTCTTTCATCTGTGGTAACTATACTTGTTATTTGAAAATTGGTGGCAAACTTTTGATTGAAACATTAGTTAATAATTACTTGAGGAAAGACACAAAGGACAACTTTTCAAATGAATCAATGTGAAATGCTCCCAAAGAAGCAAAAAGAAATTGCTTGATCAAGCCTAATGAAAGCCCCATTACACATCCAAGGTATAAACACTTAAATTATATATACATATATATAAGTCTCTTAAGTCCTACCATTGCAACATGCAATATTGCATTCAGGTAGAATACCATAAAAACACCACCATCTTCCCTCTTGTGTAATCACATTATTAATTATTATGCCACAAAGAAGTAAGTCATTTCGTTTTAGGGTTCCATGGTTATCAGTGCCATCTGAATCATCCTCTCGTCGCACAAAAGATAGACCAAAATCTCCTCCTCACTCAGACACAAGTGTACCTATTCAAAGACCATTTAAGCCTTCTATGGTAGCCCCTTCAGAGTTATCTCCTCCTAGTCCTACCAAAATTGGAGAAGCCTTAAACGATGAACCTAAAAAATATCCAAAACAGACACCACCATCTTCATTGATCATTGAGTCTCCAGTTTCTACTCGGCCAAAACCCCCTTCTCCACAGACTCCACTTCAACCTTCACCTCATGCAAATTCTCCACCTCAAGTTCAAGTTGCATCCTCACCCCTCAAAACTCATTTGACTTCTGATAATGGAGCCATGAAAGTGTCAAAGCCTGTTGCTGAAAAAATCACTCCTGAATCATCTCCCTTTGAACAAGAAAAGGAAAAGATGGTATTGTCTGAACCACAACCAAAAGAAGCTGAGCCAAAGGTAAAATCACCATTGACAACAATCACCAAGTCAGCAGAAACCTCTTTTCAACCTGAGAGGAAGTCAACACAACCAGCAGACTCTGAACAACAAGTATCTTCTATGCCCACTTCATCCCCAGTTTCAAAAACTGAACCAACCACAACCACTCACCCATTATCTCCTTTGGCCTCAAAGGACATCAAAACTGAAGAAACCACTCAACCATCATCTCCTTTGGCCTTAAAGGAAATCAAAACTGAAGAAACTGCTCCTCAAGAAGAAAAAGAAAAGATGGAAGTGCTAACTCCACAAGAAGAAAAACCAAAGATAAAGTCACCTTTGAAAACCATCCCCAAGTCACTAGAGACCTCTTCTCAACCTGAGAATCTATCCACACCACCTACAAAAATTGAGCAAAGATCAACAACCCTAAAGGCCCCTTTGGAAACACAAAGCAAGTTCCTTCAACCTGAAGAAAAGGAGAAAGTGGTGCATGAAACCACCAAGGCACGAGGAAAAGGCAAAGACACAACCACCACAGCATCTGCTTCCGGAATAGCAACAACAAAGGCTAGAGATTCATCTGCCAAGGCATTTCGTGGTAATAAGAAGCATCATGGAGTGCGGGAAACTGTTGAGAGAAAAATAATGTTTGCCACAACCAACCCCATTGGGAAAGACACAAAAGTTATGAGCTCAACACATGAAGGGACAAAGAATACGTCAAGCTCAAGCATATCACCCGAAAAAACTACTTCCTTTAGTGGGGCAGAGGCTCCTCCTCTACAAAAGGGCATCAAAGATGATATCACAAAGTTTGTTCATAAACTAACAACCTCAGTGCACCCTACACAAGCCATGGATGAGAAACAATTTAGTGTCATAACCTTGGCTGGTGACAATAGAGGAGCCACAATGCACTTAGGTTCTGAGACAGTTAATAAAGAGGGTTCAATCCACATACATAGAGCCTACAAGAGTGATCATGAAGAGGCCAATGAGGTGACCACTGATGGAGACGAAAACACTAATGAAGAAGAAGATGAAGAGGTGGGGATGGCATATGTCAACAGCAACATACAAAGTATCAATAACTCACTCATGTTTAATGGTTCAATCAATGAAAGAGACCCTGGTGTTCAAGTTACTCTTCCACAAAAGCCCACTGAGCCCATTAGGCCTGATGATGAACCCAAGCCTAGCTTGGACACTCAGAAGACTCAGTTTAATATCAACCGGGCTAAGTCATCATACCAGCCCACGGTTGGAAGAAGCATCAGAGGTTGCAGGTTCAGTTGTGACCAGGATATTGAAGACATTGAGATTCTGTGAAGGAAAAAGCACAGAACTTCCCTTCTAAAATCCAAAATAACTTGTGTAGTCACAGTAACAAAATAAGTGTTATTAATAACATCCACATAGTGTAATTGGTCATGGCATTTTAATTTTTTTTATTATTTTTATGTTCTCTTCTTTTTTATTTTAAGTTGTTAATCTACATTAGAAGAAAATTATTATGGTGGTTCTCTCATGTGATTGATGCTTTGAGGAAATTAAGTTAACAAACTTGTTTACAGCATAATTGCCATTAAACACCAATCCTAACAGCTAGCATTACACAAATTAAACGTGCATGCAGAATGAAAATGCTCATTAGAATAAGAGTTGTTTAGTTCGCTTCTTCTCTCCTTCCTCATGAAAAATATGTACATTTTATATCAAGGAAGAGTGACATGACAGGACTATAGTCCACAATGGAAGAAATCATTCACAAGCTGGTTTTGTGTCAAAGCTGCTCAAGCATATTGCAAAGGCTTGGAAAGCTGAGAGGGGATATCGATAATCCATGGTGAATATGTCCTTCCCAATTTTTCCAAATTGTAGTATCACTTTTTCTTGTTCTATAGCTGAAACATTTTGGCATGGTTCAGCA